TCTGTGGCATGATGAGGCTGATCTGAAAGCGGAAGCTCCGCCGGCACTCGCCGCAGGTGAAGGGCCGCTCCCCAACATGTGTTATCTGGTGTTTGCTGAGACTCGACTTGTGGCTGAAGCTGCTCTCGCACTCGGAGCACTTGTAGGGCTTCCCCGGAGGTGGGGGCCGTGACTGGGGCTTGAGACCATGCTCAGGGCGCCGGGGGACCCCCACACCCCGGCGCGTGTGGCTGCGCTGGTGCAGCAGGAACTGCTGCTTGTTGCGGAAGCTGAGGTCGCACTCATGGCACTCATAGGGCCCTTCCTTGAGGTGGTTGCGCTGGTGGATCATGAAGTTGATCTTGAGCATGAAACTCTTCCCGCACTCAGGGCAGATGTAGGGTCTCTCCCTCGTCCGGTTCCGCTGCTGGGCGGCGGCTGGCTTCATGTCTCCAGAGTCCCTCTCGCACGCTGGGGGTTTCCTCACGCGGGTGGCCACCAGGCTCCTGGGCTGTGTTTTGGAGCTGCACTGCGCCTCGCAGCCCAGCCCGGCCTCATGGCTGGGGAATGCTGGCGGCTCGCTCCTGCCTGAGAACATGTCACATGGCTCCAGAGTGTCAGGGTCCTCCTCCTCCTCCTCCTCTTCCTCTGTCTTGATCACGATCCCATCCTCTGAGGAGGAAAACCGGAACAGTGTTAGGGTCATTGGGTGGGACGGGTGGCCTTTTACGCACCTGCGGGCTACTACAGAAACATCTGCATGGGCTTCTGCAGCTGTTTGCACCTGCTTGTCCACTTTGCCCCACCACCCAGACGCGAGAAGGCTCCAGCTTTGGGACAGACCATGTCCTCTTGCAGTAGCAAGGCAAGCCTGCGCACCCCTGATAGGGATGACAGACAAACCGCCTCCCAGACAGGCTCCTTCAGAGGGTGCAGTGAGCCCTGTCTGCCAAAAGGTTTTGCACTTTCATGATGCTACGAGACAGAGGGGATAAAAGCACCACTGGTTTGCTAGGGATCAGGTGGCCAAGTGTTTTGGAGCAGCTCCATCTGCTGCTGTTTTGCTGGGCTACACCACCACACCTGCATGGCACTGCTCCACAGAACCACCACACAGGGATGCCAGCCTCCAGCTCCACTTCTGAATCCATGGACACAGGCTGGGACTGTCAACCTCCTTCAGCTTCACCGTGACAGGGCACAGGGAGAGACCTCCTTCTTCGCCAAGGCAAACAGTGGGATGGATGGCTGCAGCTCAGGCTCCCCCCTCATGTCACCGATGCCAGAGGTGACCTGGTTGTTTTTGTTTGGTGAGACTGGCTGTACTGGGGACGCACAGAGCAGGACACACAGCCAGCGTGTCCTGAGGAAGGGCCCATGGTGGATCCCTCGCACGTCACCCTGTGCTGGACTTTGAGCCAGGCCTATGTACTTTTCTAGGAAGAGCAGCCATGCTTTCCCAAGAAGAGGCAGCTGATGGGAGCACGGTATCAAAGCTCTCCCCTTTGACAGAGGGGTCTGTGGGGAAAACCCACATTCCCAGATCCTCCTCCCCACCTCCTTGCAGCAAGGAGCCCCCCTATGCAGACCCAGGGGCTGTCTCTGCTCAAGCTGGCATCTGTACCCCAGTCAGAACGTTGCTGCAGCTCCCGCTCAATCCCACCTGCAGGGGCCCCAAGCACTGGCAGAGGTGCTGGCTCTTGGATGAGGATCATCTCCAGCCCCACTGGTGGCTTGGCTGGTTTCCTTTAGAAAACCATGAGGAGACCACAGGATCCACGAGACAGAGTGGAGGAGGACCTCAAGAGTCCAACTCCATCTTTCTTGGTTTGTGTTACACCATTGCAAAGCCATAAGAAGGCAGGGAACCCGCCGTTCCCAACAGCCCATATCTCTGCCTTCCTATCTCCACCCTCAAAGCATGTCTGTAAGATCTGGCCCATATCAGACTTCTACACATGAAGCACCTGCTGCCATCTTCTCTTATCTCCAGTAAGTAACCTCAGCCTTCCCCTTCTCTTCCAGCAGCTTCCACACCACGGACCTCTGGTCACCCTCCTCTCTCTCTTCCAGGCCTCCCCTGTGCAACCCCTATACTGGTCAACATGCTGAACCTCATATGTTCCTCCAGCAGTTCCTGGTGTGTAAGCATCTAAGTGGCTTACACCATTCCTCTGCGTGACTAGCACCATGGCAGGAGTCCTCAACCGATATCCTGCCCTCTGCAACAGTAGGATTTTGGCAGCAGAAACTTACTGGGGCTCATAAAACGCTGCCTCTGATATGTCTTCCCTTGGTCTCCATGTGTAACAAGGCTTTTTCACACCTGCAGAGGTGCTTGCTCTGCTCTGGAGTGCGTCAGGTGCCCTCAAGAGACCATGCTCTGATGTCCACCATGAGCATGCTGCCTCCTCTTCCCCGCCTGAGTTACGACCACAGCTCCTCCTGAGGTTGCTGCAGCCAGAAACTTTCCTTCTGTTGCTGGTTCGGGGGGGATTTAACCCTTCTCTTTCATCCCACCCATTTCTCACCTTCCCCTGACACACTACAGCCCCTCCTGGGCCTCCTGTTGCCCCGTCATGCCACACAGAGCCATGTGCCAAGCATCTCACCTGCACAACTCCCATGGTGAACGATGACTCTCTGGATCTCATTGAAGTCAGATACGTATTCAGATGAGTCACCCAGGCTGGTTCCAGGGAGGTCCCTCGGAGGCGAGACGGAGCCGTAGGGGCTCTCGCAGGCTGCCTCCTCATCCGGACTCTGGAAGCTCCCCTCTGACTGCCCTGACATCCCGTGCAGCTCGGGGTTTTCAGGGCTGTCTTCAGGAAGGAGCTCCTCCGTTTTGATCACAACCCTTATACCAGCTGCAGCAAAGAGAGATTCCCACCCACCGTCACTCCAGGGAGCCGGGGCAAAGAAACTGTTTGCAACAATCCCCACCAGCTCTGGCTGCTGATCCCACAGAGGGGTTTCATTTGCTTGGCCACTTCTGCTCTCCCTTCAACCACCCCTGCCATGCTCCTGCCTCTCACCTGGGATCTTCTCTAGGCACAGAGGACTAGCTCTGCTCAGTCAGGAGACCCAGCACCTGCAGCTCAGCACCCCTCCACCACCCTACATCCCTGGCTGCAGTGCTGGCTAGCAGCGCCCTTTTTTTTTCTCTTCCTGTTGGCCTTGATTTAACTTCAAGATTGTTGTGACCAAGACCACGGCAGGGGGTCAGAGCAACCCCATGTTCGCAGCCTGGGGCCAGCGGAGCTGACACCATCTCTTCTTATCTCCTTATCAGCCCCCCTTATCTCAGAGCAGGAGTCACTCCAGGACTCGGGGTCCCTGGTTCCCTGCTCTCAGCCCAGGCTTGCCCTCAGAGAAACCCCCTGGCACCCCAGTCTCTGTGCACAGGATGGAAGCAGGCTTCCCTGCCGGGGGGTGGGTGCTCCCAGGATAAACCCAGGCACCATCCACACAATCAGAGAGGGCACAGAGGATTTTTTGAGTGGATGAGTTTTCCCAACGGGACCTAATTCTCCATTCTGCTGAACATACCAGCTCCCTGAGGATCTGGTCTGGATACAGATCCTTCCCTTGCTGGTGGCTCTTAAGAGTCCAACTCTCTGGGCTCCGCTTGCCCTGGTTTATATGTTGAGCTGTACCTGGACATCCAACCTCCGATTAGCCACATCTTTCCTGCTCCTAAGCAAGGCTCCTCCTGATACTCTCCTCAGGCACAGCTCTCAGCAACACTTCCTTTAGCCTCGGGGTGAGCACCTCCTCTGAACCTATGTCAGCCTTTGTGCTAAGCTGCTGCCTCACCTGCTGTGGCATCGGTAATGATCTCACTCTCCTCCAAGTCTGGCTCGCTCCTGACCCGCGATTCCTCTCCTTGCTCAATCTGAGACAAGACACCGGGTTTGGAAATTGCATAGTCTGTTAAGAAAGGGATGGAGAGAAGGATTACTGAACGGAGAAATCCTAATATTGGCTTCCACCTCTCCCCAGCACCCGGGGGAGACACATGAAGACACTCAGAAACATCCACAGAGGGTCTGCAGACAGGAGAGCCTGGTGCTGTGAGCAGGCCAGGCTCCCCAGATGGGCAGAAGGGAGTCATGGAGGCGGAAGCTGAGGAACCACACACAGAGAAACTACCTTCGAGAAGAAACCCAACCCGTATGTGTTTCTGGTGGGCTTTTAGAACTTCTCACGTAAATTCCTGGCTCTCCTGAAGCCAAAAGCATTTCCACTGTGGGTGCAGCAGAGCTAGAATTTCTCCTGCAGCTTCAACAGGAAATACCCTAAAGGAGCACAGCTAAGACCACCTCAGACAATTTTTCCCTCTGGAAAGTTTCTTCTGACAGGGTGCATGGTCTGGTACCTGTTGCAGACCTAGAAAACAAAGGGAAGCCCTTCCAACAGCCCATGGGGAAGGTGCTGGGTTTTCACCAAGTAACTGGCTAAAAGAAGCCTCGGGAGTTCTCCAGCCCACCCCATTTGTGGGCACCTCCCTGCAAGCCAGGACAACACTGCACCCCGAGCTGGGAGTGAACGTTGCTGGAGGGATGCCCTTACCCAGACTAGAAACTTCCTCCTTTTAACAGGACATTTGGGTGTCAAGGGGATCCAAGGGGATCTCCAAGGAGGACTCAGAAGGTGCCCAAGCCTGCAGGCAGCCAGGAGCCCTGGAGAACCCGTATTTACCCAGGGAGATCAGCGACTCATAGTTCCCCTTCATCACATTCTTGTACAGCTCCTTCTGCCACTCCTCCAGCTTCTCCCATTCCTTGTCATTGAAATAGACGGACACGTCGTCAAACGTCACTGGCACCTGCAATCACAAGCAGCACGGGTTCAAGCAGCCACCTCGCTCCCCAGGAGCCCCACACCTTATCTCCAGCCTGTGGCAGCAGCAGCTTGTTCCCGCTTGGACATGGCCAGAATTCAGCTACCTCACAGCCATCAACAAGTTTGTTTTTATATTTAAAACAACTCCTGGAGAGATATTTCTATGAGATCAAAGGTCTCAGCCGAATGGCTGGTCCTGGTCATGAACCCAGATCATGATTTCCACCACCAACACTGACATCTTCCTCTTGGTCCCTGCACTAGCAGGGATGACCTGCAGAGACGACTGGGCTTGTGCCCACCTGGAGGGACGATCAAGGAGATAAAAACTGGGTACTAGAGCTGGACCTCATCTCTATTGATGAGCTGATGTAAAACCCCAGATTCAATTACCCCAGAAGTCAAGGGGAAGATCTACCTGGGCTTGAAGGGCTCCCACTTAGCGTGAGTTAGTGTGCACATGGGCTGGGAGTAGACTGCAGCTTTCAAGTCTGTGTGCCAAGAAATAATTTCTAAGGATAAATTTGGGATGTGCAAGCTGCACCGCGTCTGAATGGAGCTCTTCAGAGAGAGATGCGGCTTCAGCTCCCTGACTGTACTAATGAGGTGTTTGGGGCTGATCACCCCTTTTCCAGATCCCTTCTGCTCTCTCCAGCAATGTCCCCTTTACCATGTCTGACATGGTCACATCTGCAAAGCTGCTTTTATTGAGATGGTTGTGAAATGCAAGGAACTGAATACTGATGGTGGGCTCCTTCTGAAGCTCAGCTAAGCCCAACTGCAAGCGCGGAAAGCTCATTTGCCTTCCCCTGAATCCCAGAGGTCCCCCCTTCCCTGCAGCAGCAGCCCCTGCTTGCTCCATTCCTGACCCAGGAGGCCCCCAGCACAGCGCCAAAGTGGTAAAAGAGCCACCAAATCTGCAGGGTTTCTCTCAAATGGTGGTAAAAAAAGAAAGGGGAAAAAAAAAAGAGTGAATTGCTGCTGGGCTGTGCAGTGTGGTGAAGAACTGAAACCTCCAGCTTGAGTACAGGGGATGTTGCCTTCAGGTCCATCTCCCACCGCAGGCAGGTCCCATGGGAGAGATGCCAGGAAGCTGAGAGGAACAGCTCTGCTGCGAGCGACTCACCTGTGCCAGGGCTGTCCCTGTTTACCCACTGGCTCTTCGCCCTGTCCTACCCTCTGTGAGGGTTTTGGGAGCGTTTTGGGTGCAGACCCTACACCCCAGGACACCGTTACCTTGGGGACTTCCCCCTTCCTGCCCGGGGGCAGCCGCAGGATCCAGAAATTCCTATTCTTCAGGAGGTTCTCCATGTTTTCCAGGCGCCGTTGGAGCAGCCCATACTCCTGGATAAGGGTGCCCAGTGCCGCACACTTGCTTTCCAGCTGGTTCCCCAGTTCCGCCGCTGTCTTCTCACA